GTGAGAATTAGATATCTTTAAAACGTCTGAATGATGACATCTTGTAGACGTCTTATTCAGGGAGTAAGACGTACAGACTAAAAGATAGGATATAATTCAGACATCTTAAAGACGTCTTGTGCTATCTGGGATAAGATATCTTCTGATGGATATCCGCTATAAATCCATGGATGAATATCTCATGGATGTCCATCTGAAGACCACAAAAAAGTAAATACTTATATGAGAGCTATTTTCGAGTGATTGTATATTTTTGTACGAAAACATTGAACAACAGAGAAAAATTCCAAACTGTGGTGTTGTTATTTATATGAATTCATATTTGCATCGGATATCTTAATTGTGGCTATAAACATATTATACCTACATAACAATAATAGTTATATGATGGAAAACTACCTTTGAATTTCTAATAAACATGTGATTTGCATGTGATATTTGTGATGATTCGTATTGTTTTGAACCATTCTCAATTAACAATTTTTGTTCGCTAAACGAACATCTTATGGACGTCCATAGGTGATCCGCATCAGAATATCCATTTGATATCCTCTGACGGATATCCTATGGATATCCATTTCATGTCCCAGGATATCCCGACCTGAAATGGACTTGAGAAGGATATCCATAGGATATCCTGTGTTATCTGGGCAGTGTACAGTTTTTGCATTATAATATTTTTTATCAACTTCTTGTCTAAGACGCTTTTCAACCTCTAACTCTTTATTTTCTGAAGTTGAAAGAATTTGTATCAAGGCATTGTGATGTGAATTGAATGCATTATAAACCTCTGCTAATTCGAGATATCACATTCGAAAGTAAGAACGCTCTGTCGGTTCCACTTTTGCTTGCTGGGCTATATCATGAACAACTGATATTCTATCGATTGCGGTATCCCTAATTGCACGTAATTGTTTTATTTTTGCAACATTAGCCATATTGAATGGGATAACAATGAAGAAAGAAGCAAAATATAATAATCATTGATGATATTTCAATGTCGAAAAATTAATTTATAAAGAGTACCTACTACTTTTGAGTACGACTGTAATAGCATCGATAAAAGTCTGATAAAGCAACCAGCAGGTTTAGGATGAATATACAATTCAACCTTGTTTGTTGTCCTGGAGTAGAGAAACAATATACAGGGTGTTGCGAAATTTGACCGACAACGCTTGACAGGTCGTGATAGCCCTCGTGATTTCATGATCATTGAGATAAAGACATATGGTCTTCAAGTGCTCAGTTCTCGAGATACAGGGCGTTGCAGTTAAGAAATAAAAATAGTTGTTTCGCAATATCTCAAGAATAATTTAATATAATGCATTCAAATTCAGTATATGGTTTCACCTTTGAATGGGTCATTTTTTGACGAGGGAGCCATTCCGGACATTTCATCCAATGGTGCCCTACAGGGGGTTGTGGTAACTTTTTCTCCCATATACTCTACGCCACTGATTAAATTTCGATTATTTCCAATTCCTCAAATTCATTGTTCAATTTTGTTCAGAAAATGTATCACCTTCAGCTGAGCTGAGATAAACAGTTTTCGAGATATTCGACCCGAAATAGAAGATTGCATAGTAATATTTCATCATTTTCAGTAGTAGAAAATTGCAAAAATATTTTTCTGGTGTTGAGTAGATTAGATACTATTCAGATCTCATCCTGTAGCTGAACAGAAATAGTTATTCCACGAATAAAGAGAAAACAAACATTTTTGTAATTTTCCACTACTGAGGAAGATGAAAAATTACTATGCAAACTTCTATTTTGGGTCAAATATCTCGATAACTGTTAATTTTAGCTTAGTTGAAGGTAATGCATTTTTTCAACATAATTGAACAATCAATTCGAGAAATTGGAAATAATCAAAATTTCGTCAGTGGCGTAGAAAATATGGGAGGAAAAGTTATCACAACCCCCTGTAGCGTACCTATGGATATAGACTTCTCGGAATGTCTTCCTGGTCAAGAAATGAACCATTGAAAAATGAAACCATATACCGAATTTGAATGCATTATATACAATTTTTCTTGAGATATTGCGAAAAAACTATTTCAATTTCTCAACTTCCACGCCCTGTATCTCGAGAACTGAACACTTGGAGACCATATGTTCCTATCTCAGTGATTATGAAATCACGAGGGCTCTCACCTGTCAAGCGTTGTCGGTCGAATTTCGCAACACCCTGTATGCTTGTGAGATATATCGAATAGGAGAATAAAACGATTATGAAATTTTACACTTATTATTTGATAGGTGTTCTAATTTGAATGGATTATGAAAATCACCGGTTTTTGTTGAAAGGAAATGAATCGATTAAATTCCGATACACTAACAATCTACGAGTGAGTGCGCACAAAAAATGTGAGCAAAAACTTTGCGATAAGCGGCGAATGAAACCTTATATTAAAACAAGTTTTTCAATTCCTGTGTGAATCAATATGATATGTATAACAAGTATATATCTAATACTATCAATGATGATGACACAAACGATACAGATCAAATGATCTGGCTCGAAGGCAACCAAAAATGTCTGTGTTTGAACGAAGTGTAATGTCATCCATCCAGTTAAGGATAATCAAATTCTCACCTGGTATATTCTTGGTATATTCCTGTCGATTTCCAGGTCCTCTGCTTAAGGCCGGCCTTCATTACCCGTTCATAGGGTGGAAAGTGGACTGTATACTCTTTGAGATCTTTGACAAAATATCGATATTTTGTTTTTTTTTTTGAGTAATTATATTATTTGAAGAATTGCGGTCGATCGTACCAATCCCCAATATCGAACCGAGATTTCCTATTCTGGACAGTTTTGTAGTAAATTCGGCGACATAAGTAATGCGCCGTTATTAGAATTTAATGAATATTTGAAGATATGGAGAAACTTGTTTTAATATAAGTGATGCAATTGATTCATGAATATAAATGTTGAATATGAAACTAAATCTAAACTTAACCTGAATTTCGGTGCGCGAACAATGATTACCTATCTTCCTGACCCAAAAGCAGCTAAGCAGTTTTTTGCAAAAGTATGGAAAAAAAATATGTTCGAAAAATCTGCTTTTTTCGTGTAAAGTCTACCATACCATTTGGCAAGGAATTATTTCATGAAAGCATGATCATACACATGAATACCTATCTCCCTGACCCGAGAGCAGCTGAGCAGAATATTTTGCGAAAGTATCGAAAATATAATATTTTTGAAATTTTATATTCTTTCATATCTATGATTTGGTGGGGAATGATTATTCTATAGACTCTATAGAGAATGATTCGAGATCCAGTGCTTTCACAATGCTTATTATTGTTTTTATTAAGTAGGCTGCTCTAGGGCACTCAACACCTAGAGTCCCACCATATAAATGATAAAAATGTGCCCCACTGGCCAAATACTCTTATCATCATTTTCTTACCGAAAATCAGTAATAAAGTGATCGTTAGACTTTTTGTTGAAGAATTTTTGAATATGGGGCCAAAAAACGTATTTTGAAATTGGTGGATTAGGTTGACCCACCGCGGCCCTAGTAATACGGGAAAGCCATAATTGAGGTGGGGGGGTCAAACACGCCCACCGCTAAATTCTTGTCGAGACTTGCATAAACTTCCTAAACTGGCAAGAAGCAGATCTGTTCTGGATGCTATCAAAAAAATGTTCGTCTTCATGGCAGGAAAGTGGCCAAGAATCGAACATTGAAGACAAAAACTAGATGTTTGGTTTGTGAAAAATATTTGTGCTTGGAGTGTTTTTTTCATTTGCATAATGCTTCTTTGATTGTTTTGATTTTATTTGGGTCTAATAAATATGACATCGAATAAATGCAACAATTATTACCACTTTCCTGGCCTGCGGTGGGTTACATAAGTCCACCAAAACCGAGGCCAACACTGGCAAAACACTTGGAAACATATTGAAATGCATTTCATAAGGCAGTGGTGGATCTTTACGTAACACCGTGGCCACAAAGAAATTTTTGTCTGGTGGTTCAGATCTGCCCACCACTGCTACTAGGGAAACATTTCTGTTAAGGTTTTGGTGGGTTGCTTAGATCCACCGTGGCACTCTACGTGTTAATATCAATTCTGATTATATTGGATCAGATATTCATCGCCGAGCTTAACTACATACATCGCATAATCGCAAACAAAAGCAGTTGTGGAATTTCGATTTTCAATATTCCCTACCCAAAAAGGGGGGAAACGTGTGCCACTGGTCAATCGGGAGAGTTCAGAAATTCTGGCTGCCAGCTTTGGCAGCCCACTTCACGTAGGTACTTGCGCTAATAACGCTAATGCCATCCAGTGTTGGTCTGCGTCGTTGATTGATATATTACGCTTACGCTGGGTCTGCGTCAATGAACTCAATGTAAACCAAAATGTAAACAGGGGCGTGTTTTTCACTCCATCGAAGAAAGTGCGCACTGATAGATGCGGTTTTTTGACGTGACGTCACCAATTGTTCTGTTGGAATCTATGCTGGAAGGATTGAACAATGGTTTATACAACACATTGATGGAAACACGGATTTTGTCGTGTGTCAGTCATCATGTATCTTGAGAATCAGAAGAGGCTAATTCGATTTTATTGATTAACACTGACTCTTTCTTCTGAAATCTCTCAAGAATCTCAAAAATCCTCAATATTAAATGTTTTCTATCAAATCAAAACAAAAAACAACACTAAAATGTGTCAACTGTCATGTCAATCTCCTCCAAACTGCTGGATTCTCGAAAAGCGATTCAAAAGTGCGCATTTTATTACAACAGTTTGATGGATGTTCATCAACATTCCAGCGGAATTTTGCAACAGTGTGATGGTTTCTTCGATTCATGCGCATGATAAAATGTTGGAATGAAAACGCACCCGTCGCTACGCTAGTGAGTTTGGTAAAAAAATGACTATTGACAATATTGACATTGACAGCATTCACTATTAACCTCAAGGATTCAACGATTCATAAGGAGTAGAAGTTTAAAACTTTTGTCGAAAAAGTAATGTTATCTCGAAATCATATTTTGTTCAAAAATATTTGGCGCCAGGCTGTAGAAGAATGCGCGAATCCAACATTACATAAAAAAGGTTAGATAATTCGGATATTCGGAATATTCTTTATATTTTTCTTCATTATTTAATTCTAGCAAGACCCTTGAATATTTTATGTAAAGTGAAGAGTGCAGACTACCGTTCAATATCATTTACCACTATCTTCCAAAGGCAAGCTAAGAATGATCCTAAAAACAGTGGTACAACTGAAAATGAAATCAAAGCAAAGCCTGTATTGGAAGTTATTTCACCCAATCTTAGGGGAGAAGAAAAACAAAATTCAACAGTGGATTTGGAAAATATTAAAGAAAAGAGTTTACAAGAACAATCTGAAGATGAGACCAGAAAGCAAATCCTGTCCACAGAGTCTATTAAAAAATTGAAAGATAAAATCATTGGGAGACCTGAGAAGGAAGGTGACAATAAAAGTAAGGATTTGAATAGGTACCTTGATTAACTTTTCATACTACTTCTAATTTCAATTACTTTTTATAGTTAAGCCACCAATAAAGAAAAAGAAACGTATAGACCTTTCAGTACAATCATTAGAAAGAAATTTCATTACACCAGTGAAAGCTATGTCTGATTTTCTGCTGAAGCCATCAGATTTGGAGTCATTACCAAAGACAAAGAGACGTTCACCATATGAATCAGAGCCACCTATCACTGTTTATTGGAGAAAGGATGTTGAGGCAAAGGCTTTAGAGATTTGGGGATCACATGATAATTTGCAAAGAGAATTGCTCAAGAGGAATATTGAGAGAAAGAAATACCAGCAAAGTATGTACACCAGATGTAAAAAAATCTATTAGACAAGCCATCACTTCTAGAGTATTTGGTTTATCAAAATGTAATTTAATGTGGTTATTATGGTATGTGAGTAGGATAGTTTTCACATATTTTCACTTTCTGGTGTCTTCTTCTTTCACTGGAAATGGCCCCTGTTTTGAATTTTCAAATGGAACATCCTGTTTATTATAACAGTTTGGAATTTCAGAGACAATGATTCTGGATCAGCTCAGGTGATGTCAGAAAATTATAATCACAAAGTTTTGGTCACTGGTATGATAGGTAGATAGAAAGAAGACAAGTTGACAAGAAATATCTCCTTATATAGCTAGTTGGTATTTTTTTAATGGCAACCATTTGTTGACCAGCACTTTCTGAAAAAAGGATTTTTTGAGGAATTTAAGGAAACTGGTACTGATTGATTTGCAATACTGATTTATTTCTGATTGGATTGAAAATAAAACATGAATTTCATATTACTTCTAGCTGACCCTGCAAACTTTTATTTGCTATATACATTATGGGTGTGAGCAGCAATGGTTCTCCTGTCAATGGTTTCTCAACATGCTCTTATGATTTATGAAGGAAGGACATTGATTCTCGCATTGATTGCTGGATATTTTTCATGCCAGTCCACTAATCAGAAGGGGTTAATGAAGACTCCTAACAGTACAATAATTGGTGGTTCCTTAACTACCCCAAAAAACAGAAAAATCATGAGAACCATCTGGAGTAGAAAAATCTTAATTCAGTTGATATACCCATTGTCCAAGGTTTTTGATAGAAATGAATCATTCTAGACCTTTTGTAAAAACTATTCTTCAATAACCCATCAAAGTAGAAAAATCTCAAAACAGTTGAAATTCCCATTTTCTGAAGTTTTTTGATGAAAATGGATTATTCTAGACCTGAATACATTAAATGGAGTGAAATAATTTGTGAACCAAAAAGTACCCCTCTACAACCCTCCAAAGTAGAAAAATCATAAATCAGTTTTTCCTTGCTTGGAGTTTTTTTTATAGAAATGAATCATTGTAGACTTGCTGAATATGCTCTATAGTATAGCATAAAATAACTTGTGAACCAAAATCTTCCCCTCCACTCCCTCCAGAGTAAGAAAATCATAAATCAGTTGGTGAACCAATGTTCTTTCTGAGAATGTTCTTCATGATATTGAGAATCATATTGTGGGAAGTCTATCTCATAGTTGTCACAAGAAACAGGTAGGAAACAAATCAACTGCTCTCCAAAAGCACCCCTACAAGATTACTGCTGTAGAGGGTGTCCCATATTGCTTGATTTTGACAGTTTTTCCTATTTCCAGAAGAGCTAGTGGAAAACTGACCAAGAGGTCTAGAGCTTGATTTTTGTGAAACTTAGCTTGCTGAAAACCTCATTTTGCTATCTCTAACCATTTTCCAGATATAGGTGAAAATTGACATTTGACCTATTTCAAAAACATACCATATTTTTCTATAGGAAAAATCTTTCCTCAGGCACTTTTTAAAGTAGAATGAGATACATCCACTAAAAAAATATATTATGTATATATCTGATATCAAAGCCAAGTTGTTATTTCATTTTAAATAAAAACCATAGTTTGCTTCGATTCCTGAAAATCGAAAAAATAAGCTCTCCAAAAATATATATAATTCAAGATATGTCTAGTTATTGTTGCTGTCAATATAACATATTTCTCTTTAAAAATAATAATTTGGTGACATCTTAACATAGTAAGCCATGGAAAGCAAGAGTTGTTTTCAATATCTTTCAGTTCTACATTGATTGAAATGAATGAAAGCTGTTCACTACTGTCTGCAACAGAATGTATGAAAACTTTGAAAAATGCCAAATGTTTATATGTTTCATTGAATCAGGCAAAAATCCTGAAGCTGCAAGAAATTTAATAGAATAGAATAGAACAGGGCTTCATTTTCAAGAATGGCAATTACAGTGACATAACATTAAAAACATATATCATCACAGTTATCAAAATTAAAGAAAATAGTGTCAGGTACAATTGATTGAATCAATATAGGAACTTTAAAGTTTTTTATATATCATCACAGTTATCAAAATTAAAGAAAATAGTGTCAGGTACAATTGATTGAATCAATATAGGAACTTTAAAGTTTTTTATATATCATCACAGTTATCAAAATTAAAGAAAATAGTGTCAGGTACAATTGATTGAATCAATATAGGAACTTTAAAGTTTTTTATGGATCAAAATATTGAAATTGAAATAAAATAAATCAAGTCCTATAAAAATCATGTTTGCCTCCTCTTCATTGCAGGACCTTCATAAGGATATCTACTATTCCCCCAAATATTCTTTAACTGAGTATGGTTCCAAATCTACTATAATATTGATTATTAGCCCCTTGAAGACTCTTATTTAACTTCTTGTTTGAATGAACAAAATACACCAAGAAACATTTATCACCAAAAATATGTTCAACAATTTAACCCGATTTCAGATGGAACTTGAACGCATTTCATAGAACGACTGAAGAAGGGTGAGAGCCTGAGTCAAATTTGATAGGGAGGTGGTGAATCGAGTTGTCTAAGGGGGAAGAAAAGGGGTTGAAAAAGAAAATAACTCATTATCTCAGTTAATACTCATTGTACATGGATTTCGAAGGCGATAAACGAATCTACTAATCGAATTTGATTGAAGGCGTTGAACTCATTGTTTGTCAGGTCTAAGGGGGTAACAAAGGGGTTGAAAAACAAAAAAAAATCATTATCTTCGTTAATACTCGTTATACATGGATTTTGAAGGCGGCAATCGAATCTACTAATCGAATTCAATAGGAAGGCGGTGAACTCATAGTCTGTCAGGCCGTCTAAGGGGGAAGAAAAGGGGTTCAAAAACAAAAAATCGTCATCTCCGTTAATACTCGTTGTACAGTCATATTCAATAAAAAAGCATACAAGTATTAAAAAGAGAGGTTAACGTCATCCTAGATCTAGTTGTGTAAAACTGGCTCATCACAAGGTGTCAAAATGCAAGTCAGTGGCGTCGAGCATCAATGAAATAAATAATGATGAAAAAAAAAAAAATAGTTGATAATTTATTGAATTATTTATATTCAACAGTTTTATAACAATTCAAACAAAAACGAATAACGAGAACAGTGAAAATAGAATTTAATACTTGGTCAAGTTGATCAAATTCGATAGTATCCGAGATAGTTTCGGATAAAGCTCTTTCCAGCACTCGTGGATCACTTCCCATAATTCATTCGAATTTTGGGGCCTGAAGTTTCTCTTGTAGATTTTTTTTACAATTATACCCCAAACGTTTTCTATTGGATTGATATCGGGACTGTAAGTGGCCCATGGCAGAACTTCTACGTTATGCCTACGGAACCAATTCGTAACATCATTGGCGGTGTGGACTGGATAATTATCATGTTGATATATAAAGGTATTGTTTGTATACAATTGCTCAATAGATGGGAGCATTATATTTTCAAAAATGTTCAAATAATTTGCGGCATTGAACTTTCCCTCTATTCGCCAGCAACACCAGGTCCATGGATACTTATCCAGCCCCATACATTGACGGAAAAACGTCCAGACCTAGAAGCAAGAGAGCTAGTGTATCGATCTTCAAATCTCGTTTAGTGTGGACGATAAACACGAATTGGTCCGTCATAAGTCGACTTGAAAGTTTTTTCGTCTGTAAAAATTACCCTATGCCAATATTGTGGGTTGCGGTATATATTATTTAGTGCGGAAATTACCCTTGTCTGACGCCGTTCAGCGTTGAGTGAATTTTTTTTGCTGCTGGATGATTATTCAGGTCAGATTTCTTGACCCTTCTGCTCGCAGTAGGTTGAGAGCCAGGAAATCCTGTCACTATCACATAATCTCTCGCCGTTGCAAATGGGTTATCTCTTAAGTATGCCACAAAAGCAGCATCTTGTTGAGGGTTGGAAATTTTGGGACGACCTGATCCAACTTTTTCTTCTCAATCTCTTGCTCCCATCGTTGTTTGATTTTTAGAATAGTTTTCTTATTCCGATTATTCTCCCGTGCTACCGCGCGAATAGATCATCCTTCCTCAGTCTTAGTCACTATCTGAGCCTTTTCTATTTCTGTTGAATGGCGAGGCATTTTGATGTCACAGACTAAGCAATTTCAATAATAACGCCGACTTCTACGCTTTGTATTTTTGACAATCTATGACAACTGTCAACATTAGGTAAACAATCATTCCTCATAGCCCGTTTTACGCAAATTGGATGACGTCAATTTCTCTTTATACTTGTACGCTTTTTTTAATACGACTGTACATGGATTTTGAAGGCGGTAAACGATTCTACTGATTGTATTTGTCAGGAAGGTGTTGAACTCATAGTTCGTCAGGCCGTCTAAGGGGGTAGAAAAGGGGTTGAAAAACAAACAAAATTATTATCTTCGTTAATACTCGTTGTACATAGATTTTGAAGGCGGCAAACGATTCCACTGATTGTATTTGATAGGAAGGTGTTGAACTCATAGTTTGTCAAGCCGTCTCAGGGGGGAACAAAGGGGTTGAAAAAGGGAATGAATCATTATCTCTTATAATATTAATTATGTTGATGAAGAAATATAGAACCATGACAAAATGAACAGCAAGTTCAGAAAA